TTGGGGCTGTGCAGGGGTCTCTTTCTTCCAGAAGATGATTGAAATAAAAGAAATATAAAATGTTTTGACCACTATGAGTCGGGTTTTCTCTGTTCTATCATGGGGACAAAAGAATCGGGGTTTAATAGCGGAATGAGGAAATTGACTTTCTGAGCTTATTCACAGGAACTTGATGAAAAGATACCTGCCATCCAAAAGCACTGCAACTTGTGGCGTTGACAGACCCAACGTAGAGAAAGTACTTGGATAAATGCACAAACCACCATCCTATTGCAAAACCTCAATTTAAATGGAAAAGTCTGCTTTAAGATGAGAAGGTCCTTGTTCCTGGTTTAAATTGAGAAATTCCTGTTGGTCACTTAGCTGTGACTGCTGACGGGAAAAGGCTACTGGAGATAAAACTGACCATACGTGCATCAGTTGCATCATCAGTTTTTAAAACAATCTTTCTAGATGGCTCTTAAAGTTCCCCCCTTACTAAATTATGGCAACAAAGCACAATAATTTACAGCCAAGTGATCAGATTACTCTGTTTCATGTGTGTCATCACTTTGAAGAATGTTTATGATAATCATTTTTGAATTATGGATTTTATTTATTATACTTTTTACTTCTTTTTTTAATACACTGGTCTCTCAGGCAGAATGCGGGACAGGTTGGAGAGGCTGCAGACCATTAGAGAGGAGCAGGAGGAGTATGAGCCCGAATTCTATGGGTTTGAGTATGATGTAGACAAGGGAACTTTGTCTCATCAAGCGGTAATATTTGAGAGCTCCTCAGCTATTGAGGTCATCCTAAAGGAGGCTGAGTCAATACGCAAGGACATCTCCCTGCTCAACTTGGAGGTGACACGCCTGCGCGCCCACAACGAACGATTTGGCACCTCTGTGCGCCGCCTGACTCTTATTAGAAAGGATTGTGACTCCATTGCCAGAGGGATCCAACAGCGGGGGGAGGCTCTGTACGCCCGTCTACAGGTCCTGGGTAAACAGAGCAAAGAGCTTGAGGAGAAAGAGGGCGCCAACAGTGCTGTCAGTCGCATTGCCCGTGCTCAGTACAAGTCACTGACCTGCGCCTTCCACAGTGCTATGACTGACTACAGTAAGGCGGAAGAGGTTCAGAGGAATACCTGCAGGGTGAGGATCCAGAGGCAGGCCTCAATACTGGGGAAAGAAATCACTGATGAGCAGCTGGATGCGCTGGTGGACAAAGGTGGTGAGGGCTGGGCGGAGCTGTCCCAAGGCCTTCAGAATCAGAGTGTACGCTCTTGCCGCACTGCGTTGTGCGAGATCAAAGGCAGACACAAGGACCTGGTGGAGCTGGAGGCCAGGATGAAGGAGATCCACGAACTGTTCCTCCAAATGGCCATACTAGTGGAGGAGCAGGGATCCATGCTCAATAACATTGAGGCTCATGTGTGCAACACTGTGGAATATATTGAAAAAGTCCACGTTCATATGAAGAAGGCCATACAGTACAAGAGGAAAAACCCTTTCCTCCAGTGTTGCCCCTGTCTACCGTGCTGGAAAAACGACCAAACCTTTTAGGACTGTGTTTGACGTAAATGATTGAAATTCTGATTAAACATTTAACTATTTACGTAAAAGGTATGGAACTAAACAAAAAGGAAAAAGTAATGTGCAATATTTTGATGAAAGACGATGGCACTAAGTGCACTGAAGACAGTTCTTCCCTAGGTAGAAACAAAGGGAGTAATTTGTAATCTGTAATTTGATAAATTTTGAGCTAATGTTATGAACACAGAATTTACCCATGTATGTATTTGAGATAACTTTTAACAAATTGATGTTTTAAGTTGAGCCTGTTATCATGTTCAGTGATGCGCAAAATAAACTATAGCTGTAGGAAATTAAAACTGGCTTTTTGTTCTTAGATCAGAACTAGAAGCAGGATCATTCGAGTGATGAGTCGAAGTATGGGTGGAATAAACGTTTTTGGTGCTGGATTATTAGTTTGCACATGAGCAGTTGTGTGCTGGACACTGCAAGCGTCATAGCTGGGTGGCATATTATATTATTGCAAATGTTACAAGTTGAAAACCATGCTACATTTAGTTGTTACTAAAAAATGGGGGGGGAATCAGCTTTAAAAAAAAATTTAAAAAAATCGACTAGTTTTTCCAGATTCTTTGAGTCTAAGTAAGTGTAAAAACATTTGACACCCAAATGATCCAGACATAATCACAACTATTTCCTGAATGTAGAACAAGAGCTGTACTGTGTAGCTTTTAACTAAATGTCATGTCAGACTGCGATAAAACTAAGTTATATCAGTAAGAGGTGCAGTGAGTATGATGTAGACAAGGGGACTTTGTGTGTACATTTCTCTTATATTACGTTGGCCCAAGATTATTTTGTGTCAATGTAACAAAATGATCTAATCCATTAAGGTTTTATTTTGGTACTTCTGCTAATCTGTAAATTCATGTTTAGATTTATTATTTAAAATGAGCACTGGGGTGGGGAAGAAAGATGATATGGATTACTTTAAATGTGGCATGATTGTTGGTGTCAAGTAGACAGAGTATTCTGTGTCTTTCAAAAACTGCTGATCTACTGGGATTTTCACACACAACTACCTCTAGGGCATAGGTGTCAAACTCTGGCCCGCGGGCCAAATTTGGCCCGCAGCCAAATGTAATTTGGCCCACGAAGACATACCAAATTACTATTAGAGCTGGCCTACTGGTATTATACAGCTAATATATATATTGTTTAGTATTAAGCTTTGCTTGTTCCATATTCAGTTTTCCAGCAAAACTTATTTGAGTCCATAAGAAAAGATTCATTCTTATATCTGGAGGAAGATTTTTT